AGCATAGCACTCGTTGGAGTCTTAATCCCCTTCCTTAAAAAAATTTCTTTTCAGTTTAAGTTTAAGTCTTTGAAGTATTCTAAGTCCTTCTTCACATAATAGGGTCATGACAGTCTTCTATGTGTATACATCAGTGCCGTGTACAGTCACAACAATATATGGAAGTTGTACGACAGACATGACATCATCCAACGCTCTTTGCTTAGAACTATTCCTGTCATTACATAGCACTCAGAGGGGTTAAAGTACCGACTTCATAAAGGCGAAATGGACGACTATGACCCAGCCCCCTTTTATAAGGGAGATCCCACTGGTAAATGACCAACCGAGCAATGATGATAATACATAAGTACTAAGTATTCTAACCTTCATCTTCTTTGCTTTCGAAAAGCTCCATTCTCAGTGCTACGGGACCAGACTTGTCATTGTCTTTCATGGGATGAATTCGTACATATCTTGCTGTAATGGCYGGCGYAAGGTYGTGATAAACAATTGTGTYCCCGTCRGTGTTCCCTTKWAAGACTTGGCCATTGYTGTAAWWKRTGAAWYTGCTTTCATTGCTGTAGGAAAGACTATACTTTTCCGTCGAGAAGAAGTATGAGCTAAAGTTATAAGATTCGCCTTGCGTGGCAATACCAATAATCTGTTGATTAAAAGTAATCAGAACTTTTCAAATGACGTAACAGCCCCTATATTGATGTACAACAAACTAAAGATTTCTCCARTTCCATCTATTGTTTTGTAAACCAATATGGCTGCCACATATCATTTTGTTTCTTTATTCCACAAGGTTCTCAAGGGATGTTTGGGAACTGAGACCGAAGCCTAAAACATATCTAATAGCTACACAATCACGTTGACGTTGTTCAGTTGTAATAACTAGTCTTAAAAAAAGTGGAAATGTGATATATCCACATGCAAATGCCTAAACACTTTCCAAAAACTTCATCTTAAGGTGCGTACCTCTACAATAAAAAACTGTATGATAGGTAAACCAACTGCAGAGCAATCTCAGGGATCAGTAGAGTCAGTGGGACCTCAAACAAAATGAAAAGGGCCTGGGAATGAGATTTAATGCAGTGTCCATATTAATCTACACACACATGCATGGAATATTACCCTTGCAATCTTTCCCAAATTGATTTGCAACCACTCCGTATTGCACGGTATGTTCTGCCAACACTGTATCCACCAACCGCTAGGACCATTCAGTCTTGCTTTATTAGCGAGATGATTGTTGTCTGTAGCGGTCATATAGTAATCAGAAATGATAGTCTGGTTCTGTATTCCAATGGCTCCTATGGATAGATATCAGCGGATATTCATATACTCTGCGAACAGAGCTACTTTTAATATTCATATGAGCATCATATGCATCGTTGCTATCTCTGCTATCGTGTATCGTCTCGTGGATGAACAACAATTTTACTATTCAATGACGCCAACCGTGGTAAATAAGAGAACACATCACGAGAAACTATCATAATTTGTTAAGCGAGAGAAGACGACATCATCAACAATTCATTGCCATTATGTATGTTTCTTTTTTAATGGCGATAAGAAAACCCTCTACATGCATAAGCTACAAAAACAACATCAACGTCATCAATAATTGCTCAATAGTATCATGATTATAGTTTTATGAGGCAACACGTTGAAAATCTTTTCACCTTTAAAAAATCGCGCGCATTAAAGGTTGTAAATTTGATACTTTTGATGTAAATATGATGTAAGTGTCTAAAATTCTGTAAATTTGATGTAAATGATTTCCATTAAATTTACAGAATTTTGGACACTTAAATCATATTTACATCAAGTTTACAACCTTTAAAGCGCGCGATTTTTCCAGTGTTAGCGAATTATATTCATTTATTGAACAGAATGGATGTTCATGCAACATGGTGATCACTTCGGAGTACACAAGTTGGACTTGCTGCGAAAAACGAGTAACAAGGAGGAATTTGTTGTCAAAAATTGCATAATTTTTTGCGAGTCTGTGAACAATTTGAATGGTGTGAATGTTGTGTCTACCTACCTGGTCTGACTGTTGGGGGAGTAGCACTGGCATTTGTGGACTGAATAGTACTGGCACTAGTTGTCGGAGTAGTACTGGTACTTGTGGCCTGAGTAGTTCAGGTACTGGTCGTTGGAGTAGTACTGGTACTAGTGGTTGGAGTAGTACTGGTACTGGTCGTTGGAGTAGTACTGGCACTGGTCGTTGGAGTAGTACTGGTACTGGTCATTGCAGTAGTACTGGTACTGGTCGTTGGAGTAGTACTGGTACTAGTGGTTGGAGTAGTACTGGTACTGGTCGTTGGAGTAGTACTGGCACTGGTCGTTGGAGTAGTACTGGTACTGGTCATTGCAGTAGTACTGGTACTGGTCGTTGGAGTAGTACTGGTACTAGTGGTTGGAGTAGTACTGGTACTGGTCGTTGGAGTAGTACTGGTACTAGTGGCTGGAGTAGTACTGGTACTGGTCGTTGGAGTAGTACTGGTACTAATGGTTAGAGTAGCACTGGTACTAGTGGTTGGAGTAGTACTGGTACTAATGGTTAGAGTAGCACTGGTACTAGCGGTTGTTCCTGTTCTGGTTTCAGTTTGACTCATACTGGTACTTGCAATTTCAGATTTCTTTGGCCTCTTTGAACGAATTCAAGCAATATATATGAACGGAAT